CTGAACACATTATTAGCAATTCCACCCATTAATCAAACAACAGGACTGAAATTTGACAACAGTCCTCAAATATTAAACAATATGTTTATGAGATGAAAAGCAAGAGACAGAAATTACCAATGAATGTGTGCTCAATTCTAAAGCCAGGCCCAACTTGTAACTTTCACAATCATTTAAAAAATACTTCTACGTCTTAGTAAAAGATACAAAAGTATTTTTATACATATAAATATTTTATGTACAGTTGTGAATCCAAGAGGACTCCCAGTGCATCAATCTTGCAGCCTAATACAAGAGCATGGAAAGAAAGTCTTCAGATGCAGGGGATGAGGGCTGTCCAATGTCCACAGTCATGAGACAGAGCCTCCTTAGCCTTGAGTCAGATTTTTTTCCTCCCCAGCCAGGCCCGTAGAGCCCAGAAAACTCTGTAGATGCAGAGTGCCTCCTAATTAAGTACTACCCGAACTTTTTCTGAGTCTATTTCTATCCCTTTGTGGGAGTTCTGGTGGATTTAGTTGTTGGTGTTGATCGTGGGTTCATATAATCATTCATTCAATTCCCCTCTCTGCCTCACTGGAAACAACTTGTTGGGCATCATCTAGGGCTGGAGCACCTTTTGCCCATTTTTGGGGAGATGCTGCTCTCTGGGGTTTTACAATATTGGGTATTCCTCCCTGGGTGGTCATGGAACATGGTTAGATCAATCTCCACTTCACTGACCAGGACATAATATCATCAGAGGGTTCTGGGCTACCCCCAGGTAAGCAGGTGTAAAGAACCTCTCATTTCAGGCCTTGCCAGAAATATTCTAGGAGTGTTTCTTGGGGCCAGCCCAGATGCTTGTCAGCTAGCCATCAGAAGTCTTGGACACAGGCCACAACAGATCATCTGCCTTGTTTGATGATCCTTATTGTTTGCTTTGCCCTCCAATCTGCCAGTAGGTCCTTAAACTGTTGTTTCAGGGTGATCATGAAGTCATCAAAAGCATGCAGTTCTTTGGTATCCTTATCATGTAGTGCCACAAACCAGTCAGCTACTTCATCCTCTAGGACCATTGTAACATAGCCAACCATGGTTTCATTGTCTGGGATGCCTGATCTATATTCCACCATGAAATTCCAAACTTGGGTAAGGAAAAATCCCAATTACTTTGCCTCCCCATTGAAATTAACTTTCAGATCTGGTAGCCAGTGATCATCTCATGTTGTTGGGGTGACCAGTGCCAATGGCACTACAGGGAGCAGCAGTGTTGGGACAGAGTGAGTGGCAACCAGCCCCAGCCTTCCAGTCAGCTGCCTGATCAGGTTGTTCCAAGGGAACATTGGCTAAAAGTTCCCCAAAACCTTATTTAATGGGTTCAAGCACCTGGCTGATGGTTGCCCCATAAGTCTCCTTCTGGGTTTGCATAGATTGTGCCATTCCTCTGGGCAGTGCAGCTTGGTTTTGTATAGCAATAGCAGTAGCACTTAGACTTATATACCACTTCACAGTACTTTACAGCCCTTTGTAAGTTGTTTACAGAGTCAGCATATTGCTCCCAACAATCTAGGTCCTCATTTTACCAACCTTGGAAGGATGGAAGGCTGAGTCAACCTTGAGATGGTGAGAATCAAACTGCTGGCAGCCAGAAGTCAGCAGAAGTAGCCTTCAGTATTGAATTCTAACCACTATGCCACCATGGATCCTCTGGTGATGATCATCCCTGTCAGTAGTTCAATCTTCCTGATGCCAAGAGACCTTTGAAAATGTTCTCTCATCATTGGAGACTCCCTACGTCTCTCAGGGACCCTGGACATGTCAGCCTCCATATGTGGCAACTCTTGTGCCAGTTCAGCAGGTTGAGAAGGCAGTAGCTCTTGCCACATTCATCACAGCTGTAGGACCTGAGAGGGTTGTGGGTCTCCTCATATGGTTTGCATACTGTGGGTCAGAAAAGGCCTTGCTGCATTCCTGACAGGGGAAAGGCTTTTCTCCTGTGTATGGGTTTTTGAAGCAACCCTCCAGTCTTGCAGTGATTGCCTCTCCATGTGCTGCCCCATTCCCCTCACACACACGAACATATAGCAAGAATTCTACCCCCTAAATGAGTCCTGAGAAAGAACCCCTGTGTGCAGTTTCAGATTCCAAGCTCAGCACGGCAAGAGTCCAACAAGTACATACAAAGTCCAGGAAAGCAATCCATGAATCTAATGGGTCAGGAATCATGGCATAAGTACATCAGGCACAGTACTGGGCACATTGCTTCAGCAATGCTAAAATCTTCAGGGTGGTATTAAGTAGGGGACGCCAGTACAGCCCTTCCTGAGAGGCAAGGTTGCCTCTTTGTGAGTAGTCTAGTTGACTGGCATTGTGCCGGTCTCCTCTCTGCCCTATGTATCCTTGGATCAGGAGGAGATGTGACTCCAACTCCTCCTCATTGCTATTGGGTGACAGATGCTCCCAGTCCTTGCAGAGAGCCTGGAGTCCTGGCCAACTCTCTGCAGCTGTGGCATAGGCCTGGCTGCAGAAAATGCCACAGAAGAAGTGGGCCAGCAAGAAGTGGCCTGGCTGCCAGGTAAGTGGGTGCAGGCATGTGGGGCAGATCCATACCCCTACTCCCGCCCTAGCTTGATTTTTAAATGTGTGCCTCACTCTAAAACTAGGGCTTATTTTGGGGGTAGGCTTTACTTTCAAGAAAACACAGTAGTATAATGGGTTAATGCTTCAAATATGTTTTTTTTAGTATTGAAGCGCTTGATACTGAGAGTTGGTATTATTCAGAAGAGATTCCACTATTCTTTTTTTTTTTAAATTCCATCTTGCCAAAAAAATGACACAGAGCCAGCAATTTTTATGCTTTCCAATTTTAGGCTATGGAAACTATGGGTATAATTTGTTAGGTTGTATGTATCTCTCTGTGTGTTTAAAATTAATTCTTAATTATTTAAAAGCATGAATCAAACCAACTGATCATTAAATTCCAATCTGCAATCTGGCCTCTTAATATCTCAGATTTTCAGTTAAAATTAAATGAGGGATAATTTGACTGGGCTTTGGTCCTATAATGGAAACTTACCTAAGCATTTCCACCTCTCCAAAATCAGTGATGAATTTACTAGAACTATAAACAAACACTTCCAAAATAGAGAAATAATTATAGGTGAATTTAGGTCAAATATTACAAACTTTGTCTCTTAATGAACTGCTCCCTGTTGTTTAGCACTGGTCTAAAAATAATTATGTAACATTATGGAAAATATATGCAGACAAGCAACCCTGCACTAGAGGCCAAAATGGAGAAAACCTCCACAGCAACCATATATTTGCCTTTGGTGCTCAGATAGAATGGAACAAATGAGAGCCACACATTGCAGAAGATCAACATGCTGAATGTGAGACATTTAGCCTCATTGAAACTGCTGGGAAGATTCCTGGAGAAAAACGCTACTGTGAAACTGGCAGATGCCAGAAAGCCCATGTAGCCCAAGATATAGTAGAACATGGTAGCTGAGTCTTCATTGCATTGCAGTGTGATTTCCTCAATTTCTGAATGTGTGTCAATGTCAGGGAAAGGGGGAAATGTGAACAGCCACACTGTACAGATGCCTACTTGAATCAGGGAACCAGAAAGAACAATGGAGGTAGCTAGTCCTCTTCCCACCCAGTTCCTCATCCTGGATCCTGGTTTGGTGGCCATGAAAGCCAGGACCACAGTGATGGTTTTAGCCAGCACAGAAGAAACAGCCACTGAGTAGATGATGCCAAAGCTAATTTGTTGCAGGAGACATATTATATTGCCTGGTGCAACAAGCAACTGAAGTGAGCAAAGGAAACAGAGAAGACACGCGCAGTGTCACATGACGTGTCATGACGTATCGTGACTTTTTCCCCATTGCCAGCAACGGGGTGGGCACAGTTTTGACATGATGCATCCAGTCCGCGGACCAGCAGTTTGACACCCCTGCTCTACAGCATCTTTCTTAACACATAACCTTGTGCAAAAACTCTATATAATTGCTTAACATTTTCCTTTGAACATTTAACACAATCAAGTACAAAAACTCCTTTAAAACCTCAACACCGCAAATTTTGGCCTTCCTTTTTAATATGCCAAATGGAAAGGTTAATGAGGATGGTAAGACTGAAGCATTTGACCATCCTACGTAACAGCCATTCATCTCAGGGAATTCCTTCCACTTTTCTTCTGCATCTAATCTTTCTCTTTTTAATAAGTACCTTGTTTAACTTCTTTTTTCTCCCTACTGCTTATTCTTATTCTTCATTACTCTGCTTCTCCATTAATTGGTGTTCTAATGCAAATACTAGAGTCTTAAAAGGTACTCCTAGTACTTTTGGAAGAAAATCAATATTTTGGTTTGTGTTCCTGTACTGTATCTTATAAAACCTCATGCCTCAGAAGCAATTTCATCAGGAAAGAGTAAATAAGAACTTCTTCCACCTTCTACACTGATCAGAACTTTCCTGTTGCCTTTCTGTAAGTTGTCTCCTTTCTCTTTGTAATCTATATTAGCTGCTGAGCTTAATTTACCCTCCTTCTCTTTCACAGAAGAGCTGCATTCATGACTTTGGGCTCATAATTTATTTGGCAGAAATGATTTTGAGTGTATTCTGGAAGAATAAGAATCTAAGTGGGGGAAAATGTTCAGGAAAGGATTTAGAGAGGATGAGAGTTTGGAAGATTAAGGCAGGAAGAAATGACATTGAGAGTAGCAATACCCCAAGAATAAAAAAAAAGGGATAAAGAAAGAACATAAGAAAAATTCCCAACTTTCTATTCACAGAACACTATCACTTCTGATCTGCAATTGATGTCTCATTCCCAGCATATTTGATTACTGTACTTACAAAATTACCTGCCATGGCTGTACATCCTGAATTTTGGGTTTCCTGCCACCCAACCTTCTTGTATATGATTGTTGACCCATCTGTATGGCATGTAAAGCATGTGCCACAGCATATACTGCATTATATATATATACTATAACTATGACTGGTCATCATCATTTCAAAAAAGGCCCCAGATTTTCTTTCTCAGTGCAGACACTCTCAGGATCATCATTCACAGATGGATCTGGAAATATACAGCCAAATGCATGTTCCCATACATCTTTAATGAAACCATCTTTGGGAAAAAATGAGAAATGGTATTTCTCTTTGATTATCATAACATTAGCTTTGCTGCTAGTAAAAATATGAAATGTCTTCACAAACCATTTCAGGCCATCATCCACACTGCTGATATAAATTGTCCTGAGCTGCTCTAAGAAAGCAATGCAGATACCATGGAGAGAAAACCATGAAAATATCAGTTTTTCAAATTTTGCTCCACCATCTCCTTTCACAAGAATCCCAACCCTGAAGTGGACAAGTAGCTGAAGAATCCCCCTAAAATATAAGTCTCTACCTGGAACCATGCGGTAATAGAAAGGGATATCAATTTTACCATTCATATTTTGAGGAGGTCCATATAGGATCTATAGAAATAAAGAATAGATAAAACCAATATGCATCTTCTGAAAATAAAGAGTTCTAAAATGTCTCTGGATATGCTTTCACACTATTTATGTGTATGCAATATTTGTGAGAGTAGGTTTGGGATAAATGATTAATGAATTCCCTTTCATCTGCACAACTGAATGATTATCTGAATTTCCCTCCATTTTTGCATGTTACTCCTTTTTCTTCAACAATGGAAAGGGTAAGAGACAGAAGGGGATATCAGAGACAGAAGGGGATATCAGTTTTTATCATTCATATTTGGAAGAGGGCAGTATAGAATCTATAGAAATAAAAAATAGATAAAACCAATATACATCTTCTGGAAATAAACACTTCTAAAATGTCTTTGGATATGCTTTAATACTATTTATGTGCATAAAACACTTATGAGAGTAGGACTCTTGAGTTCCCTTCTAGCTGCTCATTTGTATGATTGTCTTAATTTACATTCATTTTGCATATTACTTCTTTTTTTCAACAATGGAAATAATTTTAGGTATGAAGATGGTTCATACTATTTTATAGAACAATTGACAGTTTGTGAGTTTCTTGTTCTGCAGACAATATAAAATTCTAAGGCTTATTTCTATCCTAATATAAATGGCAATGAGTTTTCTTGAGTCGGCTGTAATCTTTTGCAACAATTTCTCTAGATTCTGGATAGTGATTCAGTATGGCTCTAATACAATTATTTATGTTTCCAACATATATTGCTTTCCAACATATGTAGCTTAAATACATTTTTTGAATGAATGCTATATCCATAATTTATTTCCAAATATACTCCACTTCAAATTCTACCATAATGAGCCTTCTTTCAAAATGATTAAGGGGTGGATGAGTAATGGGAGGAAACAGGTTCAAGTTCACCTTAGCCGAAGGAGCTCAGTGTATAACTTTGGGCCCATCACTCTCTTACAGCCTATACTACCACAACTGGTAGTTGGAGAGAAATAGAGGAGGAGAGAGCACTATGTGTTACTCCATGAACATGTGAATTGAAGGCAGCATTTAAAACTAACAACAAAATAAATACAACCCAGAAATTTTGCATCATGTTTTGTTTATCACGATATCAACTTCCTTAGGAGGAAATCTAAAGCTCCTGCAGAGCAGGAAATGTTTAATGCTTATTAATTGTTATTTTTGAAAATCAGTTGTGAATCCAAGAGGACCCCCAGTTTCTGCATCAATCTTGAATTGAGATATGCAGTTTAATCCAAGATTATGGATGAAAAGTCCTCAGATGAAGGGGAGGGGGCTGTCCATTGCCCACAGTCATGAGTCAGAGCCTCAATGGCCTTGAATCAGGGTTTATTCCTCCTCAGCCAGGCCCATCAAGCCTCCAGGCACTGGATAGGGATCTCAACAACATCACTTGTCTCAATTGGCTTAAAAAGTTAGATTAATATAATGTTGAACTATACTTTGCCCCTCCTTAAGAATCTAACTCTGGATTTAGCTCTAAAGAATTTTCAACCTGTCTCCAACCTTCTCTTCCCTCCAGAAGATCATTCATGAAATGGATTACCTGTACCACTTTCAGTTGGGATTCTGCCCTAAATATATGACCAAAATGGCAATGGCCTTATTAGTAATCATTTGCAGGGGCAGAATAGGAATATAGCCTCTGTTCTTGATATCCTTGGAGTGGCTTTAGAGATTGGGAAAGGGGAATACTGAGCTGTCTCTGTACACTCCCTTTAAAGTAATTTTCAATCAATATTGATTGGGAACAAGATGATTGACTCCCAGCCTGCTATCTAGGTTTCCACAGGAGTCAGTGCTTTCCCCCTCCTATTAAATATTTACTAGAAGTCATTGGGTGAGATCATCTATCACCATGGAGTGAGATATCATCTGTATGGTGATTATACTCTGTGGTACATCTCTGCCCATGTGTGTCTTGCCACAGTACCCTTTCTTTGTACTTGCAGGTTATTGAAATCTGGATGGGGAGCAACAAATAAAACTTGCAAGAGATTGAAGATCCTTAGTTCTTGGAGAATTATCATCATTGGTGATGAACAGGGTTGTGCCAAACAAACATGGTACACAATGAGGGGATTTTACTTGACTTTCGACTCCTACTTGAGAAGCAAATGACTGGTGTGCCCAGAACAGATATTGTACAAGTGTGAGTTGGGCACCAGTTATGTCCTTTCCTGCCTTTCTTATAATCACCCACATCCTAGCCACCAATTGTTTGCATTACTGCAATGCATTCTACATGGAGCTGCCCCTGGAGAATATCTGGAAGTTTTAGTTGGTTCAAAATGCAATGACCATTTTTTGAAAGATCCTAAGGACATGGTTCTTCCGCTATCCTAAAGACTCCTTATTCATATGAATATAATAATAATAATAATAATAATAATAATAATAATAATAATAATAGTAATAGTAATAATAATAGTAATAAAGTTGGAAGGGACCTTGGAGGTCATCGAGTCCAACCCCCTGCTCAGGCAGGAACCCTATACCATTTCAGACAAATGGCTGTCCAGTCTCTTCTTAAAAACTTCCAGTGTTGGAGCATTCACCACTTCCGGAGGCAGGTTGTTCCATTGGTTAATTGTTCTAACTATCAGGAAGTTTCTCCTTAGTTCTAAGTTGCTTCTCTCCTTGATTAGTTTCCATCCATTGCTTCTTGTCCTACCTTCAGGCACCTTGGAGAATAGCTTGACTCCCTCTCCTTTGTGGCAGCCCCTGAGATATTGGAACACTGCTATCATGTCCCCCCTCGTCCTTCTCTTCATTAAACTAGACATACCCAATTCCAGCAACCGTTCCTTATATGTTTTAGCCTCCAGTCCCCTAATCATCTTTGTTGCTCTTCTCTGTACTCTTTCTAGAGTCTCAGCATCTTTTTTACATCGTGGTGACCAAAACTG